ATGTATATATATATATACATATACAATTAAAATATTCTTATTATAAATTTTTATATTTTTTTTATATTTTTCAAAAAAATGTTGACACCCTAAATATACATGTTTGGTAACCGTTTTACTTATCTATTTTTAGATATTGGGTTGTCCGGAAAGTTCGTGCCGACTAACCTATATAATTTAATAAATGTATACTAAAATTTAAATTTTCTGCGTTTCAATTTTCCTTGAACATCGGCACGAATTTTCCGGACAATCAATATATCTTTTAAGATCGATTTAAATTTTGATACGGAGTAGAAAAGTCAAAAGGTTTAACTGTGTTATAATGTACAATAGTTTTAAGAATTGGTCTTTTTCTCTTCCACTTTTTACATAAAGTTTTTCCAAATCCTGAGATGTTCTTTTTTGTATATGGAAATTCAATAGATCTCAAAGCACATACATTTAAAGTGACAGGTAACACATTTGGTGTTATCCTATCGTCATCTTCAAGGGATATCTCTAAATTAGGCGTATCGTACAATTTTGTCGAAGTAGTCAAATTGACATCGCAAAAAGCGTTATCAGTTAGAAATTCTGCTTCCTTTAAAGCAGCACTCAAATCTACCCAATCATCAGATAATGGAGTGCAATTTTCATTTATAGTATTTATTGGATTTACAAATTGTTTTTCTAATTTATCTATCACGATATTTCTGTTTGAAAAGATGTCCATATTTGAAAAATCATTCTGAAGTGAATCGATTTCATCTTTGTCCAAAATATTTGTAGACACTAGCTGTCTTTTATTATTCTCATTGTTGTGAAATTTTGGTAAATGTATGTTTCTCATTTCTTCACCATCATTTTTCTTAATTGATAATTTTGGAATAATAAATTGTGAGACTGGTGATTGATATCTATCTTGAGATTCTACATTATTAGTTGCATTAGATTTTTGTAAATAGTCTGCAGTTAAAGCAGCTAAAGAACTAAAAGGTTGTGCATTTGTGTTATTTTGTGAAAATATTTTTGTTATATTTGAATTTGTAGATTCTGTGTGATGGGAAACAATTCCAGCTAATGATGAGAAAGTTTTGAAGGAATTATTTACATCTTTTGAATTATCTATATTATTCGGTTGACATTTAGTCCAAGTAGAATTTTTAGAAATATGTTCTTTTTTAAAAGAAAATCTAGGTATTGTGAGCATGTATGTATTAGATTCATCAACTGAAACATCTTACCTTACCGATGAAGTCCAATACAAAGAACATGAAAAAAAAGAAAAAAAAAGCAAGGTCATTAGTAGTTCCAAATTTAATACTATGCTTCAATATTATCATAATATTAGAGACATATAAAATAAGATCTTATGTGCAATATATACCTGGATGTCGCTCCAATTGTTCTTTCTTATTCTCTATAGAATCTGTAAATGTATTTCAAGATTTTTTTTATTTTAATATTATTATATTCTAATATTTCAGTTTTAATATATCCATTATGACAGAATAAGCATACCAGTGATTTTTTTTGGTGAAGACTCCTTTAAAATAGCATCAAGTGCTATATTTGCATCAAAATTTGACAGAATAATTTTCTCTTTCAATTTAGAATCAGATACTGTATCACCTATAACATTTCTAATTGTTTCCAAACAAGACATTAATTTTGCCTTTTCTAATTCAGAAAGATTGAATTTTTCTTCATTGAACAATGGTGAAGACTCATCAATATCTTCATTATCTTCCACTATATCAGGTTCTGTGATGAATGAAGCAATATTTTGTTGTTTGCTTCGATCAAATAAAAACTGCTCCACTGTGTATATAACATATTTACAATTAATAAATGATGATACTTTGTTGAAAATCATAGAAAAATCCATAAAACATATACCACTAGGTGATACGCAATAGTCGTCCTCTATTGAATGTCCATAAACGTCATCATAGGCATCGTATTCTATATAAAAAAAATTAATGTATTTTTATTTTTACAACGCATCAATAAACAGGAATATTTACTTAAAGGTAAAAGCATGATTAAAGGTTACATTGCTATATTCTATAAGTATTTTTATAAACAATATGATAGTAACAAAAAAAGAATTGTTAATACATAATCGAAATGTGTTATCTTGAAAGATTAAAGTTTAAATTCCTTCGTAAGGATAAAAAAAATCTTGGCAAGAAATAAAGTGATTCACAACGCATGTGTAGTTACTTACCATCAGAATAATTCATAGAACGAACGTCTCGATGTCGCGACATGTTTTACATGTGATATACAATTTAACAATGATAAAAGATCACTTGTGTACTCCCATGTGTATATCTTCAAATAAGTACAACTAAATTACAAACCGCGGATCATCGCAACTGCAATCGCGATGTTTGAATTGTAGCTGTTACTTACAATATGCCATTAATCCTTCCAAATGCACAAAACTGCATGAAACCACAAACCACAAAAGATTAGATAGAGCGGACCCAGGACCAGCGGACTGCGAAAAGTCATGTATACACCGATGAGATACTAGACCATCAATCCTAAATAATTTTTTGTGACTTCGAAAATCTGAAAGTAATTGAAAAACGTCAACATCAACTGTTTTGATTGTCTCAAAGCTTTTATCAGATTTTTTTCAAGATTTTACTAAATTTTACTTTCTTTAATCACTGTTTTATTATCAGAAAAATGTCAAATTAAAAAATTTCTACATTTTTCATAATAAAATGATCGAGGAAGATAAAATCCAATAAAATTAATTTATTCTTGAAAAACATAAATTAATAATATAAAGTCCGTATCAGACTAGAGATTGGGACATTGGAATTTGATCAATCAAAGCAAATTAGTTAACTTGATATTGATTAAAGTTGATATATATTTTCTTTTTTCTGATTAGTTAAATTCCAATCCAATCTCAATTTCAATCTCTAGTCTGATACGGATTATAACGTTTTTTAATGAACTCTTTATTTTAGGGCTTAAGGGGTATTGCCTATTGTAGATCCAAAGCTCGGATCTATAATAGGTTTTTAAGTTTTAAGTCATAAGAAATGGATCATAGTCAATTATTTTCCTCGCATTTGACTCTATGTCAGGATCTACAATAAATTTTAAGTCTTAAGATGCAGCCACAATAAAAGGAATAAGGAATTAGGAATAAGGAATAAAGATTTCAATCTGTCAAAAATCAGAAACGGGAATACCCGGTTTCTGATAAGTTGGAATCCTTATTCCTTATTCCTAATTCTTTATTCCTTTTATTGAGGCCGCACCATTAAATCGTAAGAAATTGACAAATCATAGTCGAATTCGAAGAGAATAATTGATTATTAGCGTTTTCGGCTTGACTGAGTTTGCACTAATCAGGGTTGAAGTAATAATATTTCGTGCTCTCCTATTAGTAGAGCATGTAACGTCAACCAATTGCGACAATTTTCTAACCACGTTGATGCAAATCCGGCCGAAAACGCTATATGATTCGTCTATTTCTGATGGTTTAAAGCTTAAAACTCTATTGTAGATCTAGAGTAATCCCGGATCTACAATAGATGTTTTAAGATGCCTTAAATAAGAAAATAAGAAATTGATCAATTCAATTAGTCGAATTCGAGGAGAATTGATTATGATTCGTTCATTTCTTATAACTTAAGACTTAAAAACCTATTATAGATCCGGGATAAGTCCTAACCAGTAAAATTTATCAAAAGGTGGAACAAATGGCCCACAAGACTTTATGCAAAAATCTGTGATGATTATTATTAATGCGTCCAATAACAGCGAGTGCTTATTCAACAGTTAAGTAAACACTTGCTGTTATTGGTGTATATTCTTTTAGATTATCCAATCAGCATTTTAGATCTGAAAGAATACATCAATAATAGCGAGCGCTCATTCAACTGTTGAGTCCGCTGAACGCAGCCATTGGGCACATTCAGAACGACAACTGCTCATTGGTCTAGTTTCCACTGAGGGTTTAAACCGGATCAGAATGTAAGAATCAACCAATTACAGTCGAGCATTGTCTTGTCGTTCGATTGTAACAAGAATATATACTGTAATTGGTTGGTTCTTACATTTTCATCCGATTTAAATTCTCGAAATTAGGCCGAACGTTGATTGATAAAAAATGAGTGATAGAGGTAAATTTTATCCCCGGCTTTTCATCAATCAACGCTCCGTTTTAAAACACTGGCCTACTTTCCACCGAGAGTTTAATCCAAATCAGAATGTAAGAACTAATTACAATTGAATATTCCCCTATTAGGAGCTCCGCACAATAAAAAAAAACAAAGAATAGAGAATAGAGAATAAGAATTTCAACCTATCAGAAATAAAGTATTGTGGAATATACATTTCTGATAGGTTGAAATTCTTATTCTCTGTTTCTTTTATTGTGCGGAGCCCTTTACAGTTGAACGACAGGGAAATGCTCGACCATAATTGGTTGGTTCTTACATTCTGATCTGGTTTAAATTCTCGGTGAAAACTAGGCCACTATTTCTCTATGAGGATCAAGACTTAGTGAGCAGTTGTCGTTCTGTGCATCAATTGTTCATGAATATACATGAGGGCGCTGTCTTCGAGCAACAATCATTTTCCTTTCTTTCCTGCCTTTAATCCTTTCGTCAGTGGTCGTCTTTATGAGTCGAACGTGTGTTCACGAAACGTCGCGAGGACGGTGAGGGCGCAGTCGCGATTGGTGTATCTTCGGTCGTGCTTCTTCACCGGTCCGCTTGGACGCCTCGGGCTGTGGGCAGATGCCCTACCGCGATCGCGACGTGCGATCTCATTGGTCATTACTCGCGCTTCTACAATCGAATCGACATTTACTACGAGATTCGAGCTTTCTTCCCGTCCCGCTATTGCAGCTACACTATAAACGAGGCGTCTACGCGGTACGTTTATCAAATTTCGCTACGACTGATCATCGGCCGTCCTTTCTTTCCCACTCTTGCAGGACAAACTCCTTGATGCCGTCACCTTCGTCGTGAATATCCCTGCCTATCTGCCAGATTTGTTATCTGCCTTGCATCCTAGCAGCAGTGGCGCAGCGCCGTCAACACAACAGTAAGAAAGCGAGTGGCGATAGACAAACGCGAGCGCAGCGCCGCCGCCATCAGCGCGACCGCCATCGCAACGAGGTGCGCTATTCTGTTAATCGCGACTAGCCACGAAGAAATGCCCGTAGGTTCAAGATCAATCGGTCCAAGTTTCTGTGCGACGAGCATGGAGGTATTGTTGCCGTCAAGCCAGTAACGCGAGCGAGCGAGCCAATCAGAGTCCAGCACGCGCCGCCCGTTGTTGTTGAGATTGAACATCGAACATCGTATCACTTCACGCTCAGGTCGGGTCAGCTGCTGCTGTACCGCGCTGCCTACCCTACGCTGGATTGTTGGTGTGTGTGTGTGTATATATTAGTCACCTCGTCGCCGCCGCCGTGATTGCAACCGCGACCGTGATACTTCCATCGGAGTGCGCCGCACGGGCTTGTGTACGATGGAGCTACGTGTTGGTAATAAGTACCGGCTAGGACGGAAAATCGGGAGCGGCTCCTTTGGCGACATTTACCTAGGTAAGTTGAAAGTTCCTCCCACCCCTCTCTGCCGCTCGTCAACCGCATGTCCGCACGACTCGCGATTCATTCGTCCTCATCGTAGAGCCAGTCTCGATGCCGATACTGTCTCCCTCTCTCCTCTTTATCCCTCCTCCCTTCATCCTCCTTGTCTGTGTATGATATACAATAGATTTTGTATATTTTGCGCAAGAGAGCATTAAATCGCTAATTCGTAATGTTTTATTCTCACTTTCTTTCTCTTTTTATTCCATTATTTCTATCTTTTATTTCTCCGCGCACCTTCTTTGTCTCCTTTATATATCCTATCCATGTAAATGTATGTGCACGCATAAATGAGCCTTCCAGAACTTTTTCTTTATTCATAGGTACCAATATTTCCACGGGTGAGGAAGTCGCTATCAAGTTAGAATGCATAAAAACACGACATCCGCAATTGCACATAGAATCCAAGTTTTACAAGATGATGCAAGGAGGCGGTAAGTCAATATTTCTGTATTATCAATTGAATGTTTATTCTATAGGAGGAATTGTATCCATGTTCTCATTTATTTGACAGCTGATCCAATATCTTTTCTTTCCACCCAACACGACACACAGCTGTATCTCTGATATCTACTTGCTTGTGCATCTTTTCCTGACATTAGCAGTTAAAAAAGACAAATTTAACATGATATAGAGATTTCAATTAAGTAAACAAATATTGTTCTAAGAATTGTTTGTCAATTGATTTATTAGTAAAAATTGATAATAACTCTTTAAAAAAAAGATTATATAAAGAAATATATATCGTAATTTGAAATGTATAATTATTAAGACTTAATAATTTTAATTATGAAATTTTTATTGCGTTAGTAAATAACACTTATACTGTGATTATTTTACTAGTAATATAGTTGCATAATCTTTTTGGAGAAAGTGAAGGGAAGGAAGTATGATATTCTCTGATACAATTAAGTTAAACTATAATTATAATCTTTTTAGATTTTTTTTGGACTATTAGAACATTGTATCATTATTATAGTATAATCTCTTTTTTCAATATTTTAGTTGGAATACCAACTATAAAGTGGTGTGGTTCGGAAGGTGACTATAATGTTATGGTGATGGAGTTACTTGGACCATCACTGGAAGATTTATTTAATTTTTGTTCAAGACGTTTTTCTTTGAAAACAGTTCTGCTCCTTGCCGATCAATTGGTAAATATTCTTTTTATAAAAATTTATTTTATCTAGATATTGTGTATGAATAACCAATCAATAATTATTTCTTGCATCAAAATAAAATATATTGTTAAAGCAATATACTATGTTTTAAATTTTTTATAATTTTTTATGTCATACTGACATAATTAATTTAATAGATATTTTGATTAATAACAAAAATTATATTTAATTTTTTTTAAATCTCAGAATCTCTTATATAATTATTTTATTAATCTGGAGACATTGATAGTGTCTCAGCGCTAAGATACGCGCAACAACACTACCGTGGCTACTTTACGCAAGATATACATTACAAGATAGGATTCTTCTCTAGGATTAGGGTTGTATATTTATGGCTGCACTCTAAATAAAAAGCTAAACATGGATCTTTTTCAATGTATATATGCAAGAGTGTTTGCCAAATACTTTACCATACGTTCAGATTTTATATTGTGATTATATTCAATTATATATTACTTCATTTTGCGGAAAAATGTTATTGTATATATTCTTGCTAAGAAATATTTATATTCTCAATAAATATTTTTTTCTTGCAAGAGAGACTTGCTTTAACTAAGTTATGCAGTTAGAAGTTGTATATATTGACATTTATAATAATTAATACTTCTAAATGTGTTTATAAATAAATATACATACATGTACAAAAAGAAACTGGGATTAAGCCTACATAATTTGAATATTTACCTAATTTAAATTTGTACTATATAATTTTCAAGTAGTTCTGCATTTGTAATGACTCCACCGCTTTCGCCATGCCTCAAAACGCTCTCTAGAAATCTTTTTCTCAAATTGATTTAAGTAGCAATTTAACTTAGAAGTCTTTGGTCATATCGATCTTTTACGATGATCTTCACATAATCATTTTAAAAAGTTGCAATAAAAAATCTACATTTATACTATTTAACCAGCAAAAAGAGATTTCTGATGCACAATCTTCTTGATATTAAAAAAGAGAATCCAATATAGTCTTCTTGTATTCTTGCTTTCTTGCTAGATTTAGCTCTTTCATGACTAATTTTTTTTTGTTTTTCAAAAAATAAAATTGAAACTCAAGAAACGATGTTTTGATATGGCCAAGCTAATTCGCGAAGTGTTAGTGCGATTTAAGACAAAGTTTTTCAAAGAATGTTTGAAACATGGTGAAAACCGTATTGTACAAATATAAAATTTAAATTTTTACAAGTTTAATCCGGTTTCTTTTTATTTGAACGTATGTATTATGTAATAAATTATAGTATTGTATATTATTATATGATTTATGTATGTATATTTATAAACACATTTTAAATGTCATTGAAAATATAGATTAAAAATTAATAATAAGGAATACAGGCATTAGTTAGTTTTATTTTATAAAATGTTGCATTTTTAGAAAAAAAATTATATTTTATAAAAATAGTGTTACTAATTTAACATATATTGTATAATAATAAATCAAATATTGAATAAAGAGTTTATTTATATTTCTGTATATGTTTATCTTTGTTTATCTGTTCTGTATATCTTTGAAGCATGAAGCATGCGCATGAAATGCAATATACAGTTACAATAACAGTGCTTTAATTTTTTTATTCTACAGATAAGTAGAACAGATTATATTCACAGTCGCAACTTCATTCATCGTGATATTAAGCCAGACAACTTTCTGATGGGTTTGGGAAAGAAGGGAAACCTCGTCTATATCATAGATTTCGGATTAGCTAAAAAGTATCGCGATGGGCGCACACACAAGCACATACCCTATCGAGAAAACAAAAATCTGACGGGAACTGCCAGGTTGGTTTTATATATATAATTGTATGATATTATATCCGTATAATATCATTTTGACTAATCCATTTATTGTGATAACAGATACGCGAGTATAAATACGCATTTAGGAATTGAGCAGTCACGACGGGACGATCTTGAATCTCTGGGCTATGTTCTCATGTACTTTAATAGAGGTAGTCTACCTTGGCAAGGCTTAAAAGCAGCAACCAAGAGACAGAAGTATGAACGCATTTCCGAGAAGAAAATGTCTACTCCTGTAGAAGAACTTTGCAAAGGTTATCCCGGTAAGTTTTATAGATAATAGCACGCATTATATACACAAAATATTTCAGAATCTTTGAATATTCTTTTAATAATTCTGCATTAATCATTTTTTTAAATAATTCTTTGAGATATATATTATTATATATTTTTTTAGGGATTTTATATCGTTACCAAGTTTAATTAAAATCGATGACTCTCTCTCTCTCTCTCTCTCTCTTTCTTTCTTCCCCTCCTCTTCACTGTTATGCCATCCCCTTGTGAGTTTAACCGAACAATATAATTTTATAAAAGATTTGATTCTTTGTAATTTAGCTTGTACAAATTCTTTAATCATTTATAACTCGAAAATTATTGATGTCTTGATAGTTTTATTAAAAATTATAATAATTCTAAATTGACACAAAATTTATTATTATACTATATATTACATATGCTATACATATATAAGAAGTAAACATTTTATTAATCATTGCAGTGGAGTTTGCGTCGTATTTAAGGTACTGTCGAGACTTACGCTTCGAGGAAAGGCCGGATTATTCGCATCTCCGACAACTTTTCCGGACACTGTTTCATGGTCAAGGCTTTACCTACGATTATGTTTTCGATTGGAATATGCTGAAATTTGGTAACGCGAGACAACCGACATTACCTTCTGCACAGCAAGCACCTATGCATTCGCAACCGTCTAATGCAGCGTTACCTTCCGGGACCAATAATGATCAGGAACATCGATCGAGGTTAATTTTTTTAATTATTATAGAACGCCCATTTTTTTGAAAAATTCTTAAACGTAATATTAAACGCTCATTAGTGATAGCATCTTTATTTTATTACTCTTAAATGTGCTCTATTTTTAACATCTGCAGCAAAGAATCAAGAAACTGCAATTTCGAATATGAGTAATAAAATATAATTTGTAAAAATACTTTTCATTAATATTTAATTTTTTATTTAAAGATCTCATGAATCTAAAGTATATCTATTTCATTCAAAACAAGTTTCTAGCCTGTTCAGAAATAAATGTTCATAAATAAAAAAAATTACAGCTTTTTAAATTTTGTTAAATAATTGCCTGCCTCCATTTATATACTTCATCAAATATTTTTTTTATAATGTATAATATATTCCATTTTGTATGTATTTCATTTGTTTATTGTAAAACTTACGTTTTCTTCTGATTTTAGACCTTACACGCGGCAATGTTTGCCGAATGCGTCCGTAACGGCGGTAGGGCCGACGCTTGGACCGAATGCTAGTCTGCGAGCTATCCGACAGAAACGCGAGATGGAGACTCGTGGTGACCAGGACAATCAGGACAAGAGTGATCTTCAAGGTAAAATACAATTCTACCAACAATTCTGCGCAAGCCAGAATTTCGCTATTGCCGATCGAAAAACGCAACGCAATGTGACAATCGGACACTCGCAACAGTCCACACCTGGCTGCAATGAAACTGTTGCCGCGACACGTGTGGTAAATCCATGTCAATTTAGTACATTCAAGTTAACCACACCGAGTAATAGAGCGGCGCAGCTATCGCCGTCAGATGTAGCGGCTTCTCTAGACCTGACCAGTCTCAATTTAGGACATAGTCGAGAATTAGGCCCCAATTGTACCGTCGATTTAAATCCCGCGACTACATCGCGCGATTATTATCAACCGGTGTTAAGTAGACCACGTGAGAGGAGTCCAAATACAACGTCCCGTCAGCTCGATAAACAGAGTTATTTTTTTCATGGGCATAAAACTGAGAAAGACATAGATCGCGAGATCGTAATGTTTGAGGATCTAGAGACAGATGATTCGAATTGCATTCGACGGATGATAGACGATAGGGATGACGTTGCAGCGACCTCAGGCGGTTCGATGAATTGTTTCGGTGGTCCGGATAAAGAGAAAGACTACGTTGACTATGACGGAGACAAAAAATTCAAGTGTCCAACAATGAGCGGCGCACGACGTCTCACTACGGCGTATGAGACGCGTCGTGATTCGAGAAACATAGAATTCCTTGAGAAGGAAGGTGAGATTTTTAAGAAAAGTAGTAGTGAATTGTTGCAGGAAGCCTTCACTAATAAACGCAGAAATTTCTCTTTTCGTAATAAAGAAAAAACGCATAGAAGCTTAGAATCGCTCGAGAGAAGCATCGATCTACCCACGGCAGATTGTAAGAGCCTGGATCTTCTGCCGGAAGAGCGGTCGAAAATCTTTTTTCACGGTAAACAGAGGAGTCTTGATTCCTCGCAAAAGTTGACAAAAAAATCCATTGATTTAATGGCGGCGAGCAAAGAGCGCAAACGGCCTAGCTTCTTTCAAAGAGTTGGTAGAAGTTTGCATTTTTTACTCAGGGAGCGCGAGAAACATCAGGATTTCTTAAAACGAGAAGAATGCTCGATTAATAACCAGTATCCTCAGACCGATCAGGAAAAGTGCGAATATTTTTTACAGAGGTATCAGAAAGATATTGATTTTTTTGAACGTGCACCAAGCGCGTTAACTGATCGTGCTCCCGTCCAGTCAAATCTCGGTTCTTTCGATGAGACAAATATTGCCTTTATTCAAAATTTTATCGATCTTTCTAAAAACGCGAAGCTTAAGGAGAGTACATTTCGTATGACAGCAGATTCGAATAATCTTTTAAACACAAATATTGCGGAAAGGAATACATGTCTTAGCGTCGAGACACTACCGTGTCTCCAGATAAGACAGAATAATTTGGGCGCGAGCGAACCATCAGTGCAATCCGATAATCTTACTAATGCTGTTGAACTGGTGCAATCGAGACTTTTAGATCCTGTCGCAAGTGTCACTACGCAAGAAACCATGAGTGGCAATAAAGACAGCTTAGAGATCGGATATTCCATTAGTCATCTTGGCAGACTGTACTTACAGAATCTGCAGCATTTAGGTTGTACAGATGGTTTGCAATCTCTGGAGAACGCCACAGAAGCAGAGAAACGTGATCGTTATATAAAATGGATAATCAGAGACGATCTGGACGCAGTGAGCATCACAAAATCTAACGATTATCTAGCTCATGGTAAACCACAGGGTAACTTGGATATTCTTAAGGGTATTCTTCTCGATATTTTTGTTTGTTGTATTTAAAAATGGATAGGTTTTACAGATTCTTTGAGAGAGAAAATCAACGCACTTCTCTTACATCACGTCCTAAACGATCTCTTATTATTCTATATTAAACTATGCCAAGATTTCGATAATCAAAAAGCGAAATATGTTCTACGAAAATAATTTTCATACTGAATATTTTGCGATCTTATATAGGATGATAAAGGTTAGCCACAAGTTTTGCGTTTATGCAATTCATTAGTAACGTATATTTACAAAAAACGAAAACTGTTATTTTATTAAATACCAAAAATTAACAAGTTATCTTTAGCTTTGATATAAGTTTCAAGGTGCTACGCATTAATGATGACCATGCATCTTTTTATAGATAAGATTTTGAGAAGTGGTTATACTTCTCAAAAAATAAATCATTAAGAATATTTTTAACATCTTTGCAATAAATCGCCGAAATATATTTGCCATCGCCTTTCGGAGCCGACGTTAAAAATTGTAGGCATATATTAGTAGATATGCATTGACCCTTCAGGTTGGGGGTTGAATATTAGGCTAACAATCTAATTCCGGAAAAATCATTGTTTCTTCATCGATGAGGTTTGTAACCTCATCTCTAGATGAGACAACCAAGGATCAATTTGGATTGTAACGCTCTAGAAGAACAAGAATCTTTACAACTTCTTTTAATAAATTGTTCGAAATCTCAGCGTTAAAAAATATAATTAAAAAATAACTATATTAGTATACATGGAAAAGAAATTGTTGCTGAAAGACAATAGACGTGTGTGTGTGCGTGCGTGCGCGCGTGCGTGCGTGCGTGCGTGCGTGCGTGCGTGAGAGAGAGAGAGAGAGAGAGAGAGAGAGAGAGAGAGAGAGAGCTATTAATTGCTTGGAAAAATTGTGCCGAAAGTCATTATTGATGCGTTCCTGAAGCTCTTTAAAATATAAAATGTCATTCAAAGCCGAAGATGATTATTTTTTATACATAATTATTTATTTTATATTTAATAAGATATAACTAACATTTCAAAGTTTTTTAAAATATGTTACTAATGATTTAATAAATACAAAAATTTATCATCAATCTTTTTTATCACTCTGTGCATTGAAAACAATATTTGTAATGGATGCATTTGTATTTTTTATTGCCGAATTATTAATGCAAATAATCACATTGAAGTCTTGGCGGTTTTCGAACAAACACGATTGCCTTAAACTCCAAATAATAGTGAAATCAATTAGATTGCATTGTAATGGTCGATACGAAATGTCTGAAGAGAGTGAGGATTTTTTTTACTATACATATACATGTACATGTAAGCATATATGATTTGATATGATAATTTTATATACTTATCGCTTCACACAAGATCGATATGCTCGTTAACTCTTGAGAAGCGCGTAGCAAGATTTTGCGCGTATTCTTGCCGCATATGATATTACATGACAAGGTTGATTTTGTTTTTGTCTTTATTATTTAAGTTCTACTCCATGGTTGATAGTATCCACATACCAAATTACAATAATTAATATATATTAACACTGCCACAAATGCAATTGTAGTAACAGTATAATGAAATAAGATATCATCTGAAAAAAAGAAAAAAATAA